TATAGACCTTTATTTATATATGATTGTCAATTTTTTTAAAAAATTCTTACATTTTTGACAAATATAATTTTTTTGGACATATTCCTTGAGTAATATAACTTTTCTTACGAATTTTTTTCATCAAAAATACAAATTTTCCGACGGATTAATTTGTCGTAATCTTTTAAAAAAAATTTAACAAATATTCTTTAATTCTGCATAATTCTTACATATAAAAATTTTATAAATAAAATTTAATATTTTGAGAGGGATCAATAATTCCTCAAAAATTTCATCATAAATTTTTTTAAGCTATTTGTCATGGAAATTGTGACAAAATACAAATATTGACAAAAATTCCGTCACAAAATGCGTCATTGACTTATTTATTATAGTATTATGACGCATTTTTGTGAGGGAATATTTATAGAAGAACTTAATCCATCACAAAATCTATCACTAATTTTATTTTTTTATTCAGTAACGGATTTTGTGACGGATTAAATTCTGTCTCTAAAAAATCCGTCACTAATTTTATTTTTTTATTCAGTGAAGGATTTTGTGATAGATTAAATTTTTCCTCTAAACAATCCGTCACAAAATCCGTCACTAATTTTATTTTTTTATTCAGTGACGGATTTTGTGACGAATTAAATTTTGTCTCTAAAAAATCTGTCACAAAATCTGTCATTAATTTTATTTTTTTATTCAGTGACGAAAATTGTGACAGATTTTTTAGAGACAAAATTTAATTCGTCACAAAATCCGTCACTAATTTTATTTTTTTATTCGGTGACAAAAATTGTGACGGATCTTTTAGAGACAAAATTTAATCCGTCACAACACAAACTTCAATAAATAGTAGTCCGTCACAAAAATTAAAATTTCCTCACAAAATTTGTCACTATTAGTGATTATATTTTTTTCGTCATAAATATTAATTTTTCTGGTAGTGTAATATTCAATCATGTATATAAGTTTTATATATTTTACTAATGAAATTCTTAAGTTGGATAATGATTGTGTATTTGAATAAATATCCTATTCAAAATAATCAACATATTTAATTATTTAAAAAATTTAAATATTTATTTTCATTTTACTAAATAAACCTACATATTTTTTATCTTTCTATTAAAAGATAAAAATAAATAAATTAATATACAACATGATTATTTTTAATTAAAATTAATTACAAAACAAATTTTAAAGCCTATCACACTATTATTAGCAATAAATAAAATTATGATAACAAATATTTACATTTATTAATACTATTACATTATCATTATAACCTAATACTAAATCTTAAACCTTCAACTCAATAAACTCAAAACTCAAAACCTATTCGATGTTTGGAGCAAAACCACTTAGCGCTTCATAAATCTGTTAAGCGCTTTTAGGGTTCATAAATTAGTGTTATCTAATAGAACTAAGGTGTGGGAGGAAAACACTAAAATCGTCATGGGGAAGAAAAAAATTATACTGAAAACGTTAGTAATGGTGACGTTTTCAGTACAATTTTTGGATTCAACTGAAAATGTTAATAGTATTGATGTTTTTAGTACAATTTTTTCTTTCTATTGAAAATGTCAACAATACTTACATTTTTTGTACAATTTTTCTTTCACCTAAAAACGTCAACTGTACTGATATTTTCCTTGTAAAGTAAAGTTGTCACCCCTGTTGACGTTTTGCTTGTAAATGTCCATGTAGCCAAAACAATTTATTTCAATACATTTTTTTTAAATAACTTATTTATGGAAATATTAAATTTTTTATTTATTCAAGCCAAAAGGACTATCGAGTTGGATCCTATAAGATTCAAGTGATATCTCTAGTCTCGACTCTATTCAAATTGAAAATCGAACATCAGTCATTGATTAAAGAATACAAATGTTGAACCACTTGTGCTAATGACTTTTGGTAGAACATGGTGTGTTTTTAATAGCATTAGAAATTAGAAAATACCATTAATTGTTGGTGATTGACACACTTGGCACATAGCTTCTAAGGGAAACTTTTTTGGCATAGTGACCCCTTTTCCTTCGGTCATATCAATTTCTTCCTTGCTAGTTCTTTTCCACTCAAAACATTGAATTAACAAGGCCAGAGTTAAGCTGACTGTACGTTGGGCCAAGTTTGCACCAGGACAAGCCCTCCTCCCTAATCCAAATGAAAGTAACTTGCTTGCTTCACTTTCCTTCTCAAACCTCTCGGGCTTAAAATGTGTTGGATCACTCCACAACTTGGGATCTCTGTGAATAGCCCAAGCATTAACTAAAAAAATTGTGTTTTGAGGGACATTATATTCTCCTATGGTGCAATATTCTGAAGACAAATGGGGTGCCAACATTGGAGCAGCAGGATGTAAACGAAGTGTCTCATAAACAATGCTCTGAAGGTAGGAGAGTTTCGAAAGGTCAGGTTCATCAACTAAGCAATTTTGTCTAATATGAGTGTCTAATTCATTTTTTGCCTTCTTCAATATTTCTGGATGGTTTAATAGATTAGACATGGCCCATTCTAATGTTATTGATGATGTGTCTGTTCCTGCAAGTAGCATAACCTGTAAATTCGAGGAAAACATTAATACAACAAATAAGAATCATTTTTTTTACTTTAAATTTTAGTTTTCATCTTTAGAACATTGTGTGAATCATATCCATGAAAAAAATAATTAATTAATACATTTTGATGCAATGAAATTAATCCACACTCTAATAATTAATAAAAGAGATGAGTCTTATTATACCCTTGCTTTCTAAGATACTTTGTGTATACCATAACTTAGGAGTTGAAAATGCAAATTTGTACTACAACATAATATGGTTATAGTAAAATAAATTCATAAATTAGTTACAACAATCAACTATAAAATAGCTACAAACCTCATGTATTAATTTAAGAAGAATCTTTAATGACAACCTAAAAAGGACAAAAGAAAAGTCTTTACATACATGAGACAAATGCTATTAAATAATAATTTAATTTTAAGAACACTAGGATTAATCTAGTGATCGAGAGAAGGAGTTGAAAAAGAAGTAGGAAGACCTAAATTTGATATTTGTCGGGTCTTTATAATCTTTCATACGAATCACAAAACTAAATAGTAATTTAAATGTCTAAAAAAAGATGTGGTAGACTTCTAGTTATTTATGATATAAAAATATCTAGCTATTAATTTGAGTCATTGATCGAGTGATATCCAAACAAACACAATTTGTGTTTTACTAAATTATATTTTTTTTTTGCCTTTTCTCTTAATTTTTATATTTATGTTCATCTTTTATTTTTTAAATGTTCATTTTAATCTTTTATCTTTTATCTTTTGATTGATTTAGTTATTTTAAAATAATAATCAATTTTTAATATGCGATACAATTTTGAATTGAGATTTTTAACCTATTTAAGACATGAAACTTGACACATTAGACCCACCTTTATAAAAAAAATATAAAATTCAATTGATGTTTGAATCTAAAAGAATTGTAAATATGTTTTCTGGTTGACTTGAATCAATCTCAAATGCAACACTTACACTATGACTATGACTATGACTATGACTATCACTATCACTATCTAAAGATGGAATGATATGCTCTCTAATTAGTATATGGAATGTCCTATCAATCTCAAGATCAAATGGGTGCAAAAAATCAGGGTTGCTCCTAGTCATGCACTACATGAACTACTACATGAATAGTGACAGTGAACAGTAGGGGTAAAAAGGGAATTTTCATGAAAATTTGGAAAACATAAAAAATAATGCACCAATATCATCCTAAAATCATTAGAAACTACCACAAAAAATTTGAGAGCGAAATTCAAAGCCTAACTATATGAACCACCTATGAAAAGTTTGGAAAAATAGGGAAATAAAACTTCAAAATTAGAAAAAAAAATAGTAAACGACCTCTTTTTGAAAATCTATCACGGGCCAATGGATAACCAGAGCCAAAGTTATGGTCGTTTGAAGTTATAGCTTCACAACTTTTTTTAACTTCAAAACTAGACCACCTTTTGTCCTCTGGTTTTTTTTCACACAAAATTTGAGGCAAAAATAACAAGTCTAGCTATCAAAACCAAAAATCACAATTAATTGGAAAAAATGGTTACTATTCATCTAGCAGAAATCCTTTTCATTTGATTTTTCTGATTCTACACTTATGGACCTTGCAAGAATTGAAACTCAACACAACACAACAATGATTTAGCACACCAAATGGAATCAATATAACTGGTCAATGAGCTATGGAATGCAATAAAGATCAGTTATCACAAACACATGACAGCAAATGCACCAAAAAATCAAACTCGAGTTACTGTTCCATTGGTTTACTGTTGCATTGGTTCTCTAATTGCATCAGACTCAACAACATGAATTCTTCAACTGAAAAACTTGCTAGACCTGTAGGGACTAATAACAAACACAATTACACAACATAACATGCAATATGACACGAAAATGCAAGCATCAACTAATACACTAAAATTGATATACTCAAAACACACAAAACTTAACAGAGACTCTAAAACACAAAACACACAACAGAACACAACAGAACACAAAAAAACAAATAATACACAAACACACAGCCACATAGCCTTTTACAGAAACCGATGGTCCCCAGCAACGGCGTCAAATTTGATCTAAGCCGTATCCTGTCAAATAAAAACAATTAAATGCAGTACTAGGAAGTTGTCCTAGGTCGTTGTCGCCACCGGCCCGAAGCGGGCTTTCGGCATTCGCGAGGGATGGTTGGACTCGTTTATTTGTTTAAAAATAGTGGATTGCTAGAATGACTTATTCTCAAACTGAGACCTCGTCAAACGAGCAATTTTATTAAAAGGCTCACTAATCCATATTAATCCCAAGCGGGACCCTCCATGGATTAGTGGTTTTCATAAAAGGAGGGTTCGTGGAGTCGCCACCAATGTTTTACTCAAAACATTGGAAAAAGGGATAAGGCAATTGATTTAAAAATCAACTTTGGCCACTACAACCAGAGTTGGGTAAGGGAGTCGGTTACGCGTGGGGAAGGTGTTAGCACCCCACAGCGCCCCTTTCGGGTTCCCTATGACAGATTATTTT